GAAGTTTTTTTTTTCAACAGAGTCAGATAGGACCTTTTAGATCATAAGCTTTTGCTTGTAGTCCATAGGGATAAAACCCAGGTAGGGATGAATAGCTTTGTTTTGTTTAGCCTCTTGTAGGAATTCCACATTACTTAAGTGACTAGACCTGTTAATGAGTAGAGAAGGGCTAGTGATTGAAACAACTGCATCCTTCATCTCTCTGACCTGGAAACAAAGAATTCCATTTTAGGGTGTCAAATAATAAGAGACCTTGGGCTGGCAGGTGGCATGGTGGCTAAGGGTATGAGTCCCAGACCTGGCTGCTTGCTTTCTCACTTTTACTCTGTCCCTCTCTGGTCAAATTAAAAATAAATAAAGTTAAACAAATGGTTCTTAAAAACATTAATAAGAGACCTTAATCTTGAATGCTTAATTGAATTTTAATAGTCATTTAGTGTTCTCTTCACCAAAAGTGTGTTTTGTTTTTTCCTCCTATAATTATTGGGGACAAAATACCATAATGCTTAAAATAATGAGTATGTGCTTACAGAAACTTCTAGGAGGCATACCATGTAGAAAGATTATTACTGGGTTTTCCTGTGTTTTTTTCATTCTATATATATATTTAAGAAAGAGTGGAGGCCAGATAGGGTATTTTGTAAATTCCCTGACAGATTCAAAGTGATAGAATAAGATAATGGTAGGTAACATGTAGTAATGAGCATGTACTAAACACCAGGTGCTGTTATAAGGGCTTTTAGTACCTTGTAAAATTTAATCCTTACAACAGTCTATGTTAGCCCCATTTCACCGATAAACTAGCGGAGTGTCAAGTAACTTAGGCTCACAAAGCAAGTGACAGGTATTTGAAGCCAAGAAATCTTAATGCTGTATAGTTAAATACCTGTGTACCATGAAGACTATATAGAGTCCTTAGCACATAATAAGGTCTCAATACATTTAGTGAATATTTTGCTTCTTGAATATAAATATGTGAAGGCTTTAAAAGAGTTACTTAATAGAAGAAAGGATTCATTATCATTCTGAAAGATAGCTCTTGCAATCTTGCCTGTAAAATCAAAGAACTGCTTACCTGAGAGGTGGAAAGGGGCCTCTCCTCTCCTACACTCATTTTTCTGTACTTACCCACCCCCAGATTTCACCACCCCTCTCTGTCTTTCCCTCCTGAACCTTAGGGAAATGAGGAGGAGCCTCTTTTATTTTGAAGAGGTTTTTCCTATAGGGTACAAGTGCTTGCCAGCAAGAGAGAGACAGAAACAGAAAGTGAAAAATTGCCCCCCAAGGAGGCTGACCACCCTGCAGTCCCTTCTCCATTCTCTCGGGATCTTGGGCTGGCACACACCACATGCGCCCGTTGTGAGTTTAAGCCACCGGGTCTGGGACTTGAACCACGGTCGACTACATGGGAGTTCAGCGATGTAGCCATTATGCCATCTGCTTGTCCCAAGAGGAGCCTCTTAAGAATAGGTCAGGGATCTCAAGTCTAGGGAGTAGGAAGGTAAGTAATCAATGTTAATAAGTAAGTATTGTGAAGAAAAGTGTGAAGTTTCTGTTGGGAAGGGAGGTATTTGTCAGAAGAATCATGGCTTTCGTTTATTTTCTTAGAAGTGGAGGTGAAGGACTTTCACTGCTCTATCCACACTGTAATCTGAATCCACTTAATCTGCTGTGCGTCTGTGTCTATACCTAGAAGGCAATCTCTAACTATTGAGAAATACTGGCTCGAGGACAGCTGACCCTACATTGTCAGCAGAAATTGTGACAGCAAACTCAGGTAACCAACCAAAGTGACATTTTTACTCAGTAGCCCTAAGCTGTAGTTCCTGCTCTGTGTTTTACAGTTGTAGGTATATTCACCTTTTGTTCTTTCTGTATATCTAGATTTATGCCATTGCCAGACTGAACTCACTTTGATAAAACTACCAATCCAACAGTTCTTGGTTATATTTTGCTTTGGGTATTGGGATGGTAGCTGGTTGTCTTAACTCCTTTCACATTGATTCAGTTCTGAGTTGGCCTCAAGGAAAGGATTCTGCAGATCCTGATTTATGCATGATTTTCAGAATTATTCAGGAGTGGGTTGGAACAATTCCCTTATTCCAGAGTTTTTCAATGTATGTTAATAGGGAAAAAGATTCCATGATCATGGGCATTCAGGAAGTGCTGAGTTAAAAGAGTTAAAATGTCTTATGTTGGATTCTCAGAGCCTTTAACTTGATAACGGGGATCCTGAATCTGTGAGTGATCAATAGAGGTACTCCCTATCTATCAAACTTATTTAATCATAGAATCCTGTTTGTCAGAACATATTCTGGGACCAGTGTTGGTTAGACATGTACAGTGGGTAAGAACATGGACGCTGGATCCAATGGATCGCAAACTCCAGCTCTATCACTTACTGTGGGCTTGAACTGTATTGCAGTCTCTTCACCTGCAATATATTACCTACTTTATATGATTATTATGAAGATTAAATGACCATATAAAATCACTATATCACATATATAGTCATATATATATATATATATATGTATATGTGACTTCAAAAAGTTCATGAAAAACATGGAATTAAAATACAACTTAACTTTGATACAAAAATTTTTAGACTCATGTAGTTTTTTCATGATATGCATTTTCCATAAACTTTCTGAATCAGGGAATAACCTAGGGGCCTTGAGTTTGGGGCAGAAGTCAACAGTTTCCAGTTTTAAATCATCTGTCTAGCCATACTGACTAGAGTCATACTGCAATAAAAATGTTAACTTTGAGTAACTAAAAGTAAAATAAAAGGGAAAATTGCACAGTGGCAAGAATTATTCTGTATCCATCTAATTTGGACTAGGGTGAAATAGAAAATGTCAAGTTATGAGTAGTGTGTAACAGAGGGCATCAAAATCTTGAAATTCCAGCTTGCCAGATGTATGCTATGAAAAGAGTGAAGTTGGCTGATAATGTCGTTTATGAAGAAGGTGAAGGAAAGCCATATGAGAAGTGCTTAGGCAGCAATTTAAGATCAGCGTTTATTCATCCAAAATGGTAAAGCAAACAAATATACCATAGGAGAGGTAAAAAAGAATGTGTCTGTTTTCCAGCAGTTCACAGTCAAACAGGAGTAGACTGTAAGAAAACAAACAAAATAATAAGCTCTAGGAGAGCAACCTGCCATGTAATTCCTGAAAGGTAGGACATGAATCCTGAATGGAAGTCATGTCTTCAGGGCTGGCCTGGCACGAGTAAACAGGTGCTCCTTGACGTGCGTGTGTGTTTGTGTGCGTGTGTGTACATAACAATACAGAAAGACTCCCATTCTGGAGCTAGTGATTCAATTTAGACACTGCGAGTGAGCCACTCCAAGTTTAAAAAAAAAAAAAAAGAAAGAAAGAAAAGAAAAAACGGGAGGCTTGATAGCTTGTCCTTCAACAGACCTGTCCTAAAGGACTATAGAAAGTAAATACCGTAAATCACTGTTGGCCAGGCGCACACTCCACCTCCTCCCTCCCTTCCCCACAGCCCTCCCGGTTTCCACACCCCCTTCAACGGTTCTGGGAGAGTTCGTGGTCTAGAAGAGGACTTCTGACTGTAATCCTAGCACGTCACTTTGTTGAAGGCAAACACGTGGTTCAGAGAGAACGTATAAATCTCTCCTCCCGGCAAGATCGTGATGTTATCTGCTGGCAACAGTAGGTTGCTCTGAGGGGAGCTCCACAGCTCCCGACAAGAGAAAGAGCTAGAGAGGGAGGGAGACAGAGCCAGCGAGCAGAGCAAGAGCAGTAGTGGAAGAGGCACGGGGACAGGGATGGAGAACATTTGGATGATGGTCTAGGGAGTCGTCTAGAACGAACTGAGGGGGCTGCTGGACTGCAGAAAGAAGGTGACAAGTGTCTACCTACCCTAAGAGAGTCCAAGCGGGAGAGAAAGCAAGAGAGTTTGGGAAAGGATAGAGTCCAAGGGGTCTCCTATGCAAGCCTCAGGGATAAACCTCTAGCCAGTGCGACCCAGGGGCTGCAGTTGGGATCCGCAGGGGGTGAGGGCGGTGGTGGCGGGCGGCTGATCGTCTGTTGCCGGGTTGGCCTTTGGAGCGAGAGAAGAAGGAGGAGCAGGAGAAGGAGGGAGCTGGAGACTGGACGAATTTGCAAGCGGCGGCAGCGGCGGCGGCAGCAGCAGCAACGTGGAGTCACCGAGCGGGTCCGCGCTCGCGGGCCGGGGTGTAGGCCACAGCACGCCGATCCCGGAGTAGGATCCTCGCAGCCTCAGCAGCCTCGGTGGCCGGGGCAGCACCCTACTGAGTCCCGAGTGCCGTGCTAAGCGCACCCGCCTCCCTGCGCCGCGCCGGGCTCGTTCCTTGCGCGCGCACGCACACACACGCATACACACACACACGCACACACACACACACACACACACGTGTGCGCTCCTCTGCTCCGGAGCTGCTGCCGCTCCTGCTCTCAGCGTCGCAGTAGAAGGCAGGGCCGAACCGCTCCTTCTTTAAATATATAAATTACAGCCCGGGTCAGCCTTTGAGACCCCCCCTTCCAGCGCTCCCGGCACCCCTCCCGTCAGTTCGCCAGCTGCCAGCCCCGGGACCTTTTCATCTCTTCTCTTTTGGCTGGAGGAGCCGAGTTCAGATCCGCCACTGCGCACCCGAGGCTGACACACTGAACTCCATTTCCTACTCTTAAATTTATTTCTGCTTAATAGCTACTCGTTTCTTTTTACCCCCATCTCGTCGCTCCAAGAATTTTTTTTTTTCTTACTCTCCAAAGTCAGGGTTCCCTCTGCCCGTCCCATATTAGTATTTCCACTTTTGGAACTATTTGTCTTTTCTTTTTCAAGGAATTCAAGCAAGATACTTTTTTTTTCTGTTGGGCATTGACTCTTGATTGTTTGCAAAAGTTTCGCATTAAAAAACAAACAAACAACTCTAGCTGATCTATACTTTGAAAATTGTTGGTTTCTTCTTTTTCTTCGTCTTTTTTTTTTTTAAGAAAAAACTTTTTTTTCCATTTTTAAAAAAATGCACTACTGTGTGCTGAGCGCTTTTCTGATCCTGCATCTGGTCACGGTCGCGCTCAGCCTGTCTACCTGCAGCACGCTCGATATGGACCAGTTCATGCGTAAGAGGATCGAGGCGATCCGCGGGCAGATCCTGAGCAAGCTGAAGCTCACCAGCCCCCCAGAAGACTATCCTGAGCCCGAGGAAGTCCCCCCGGAGGTGATTTCCATCTACAACAGCACCAGGGACTTGCTCCAGGAGAAGGCGAGCCGGAGGGCGGCCGCCTGCGAGCGTGAGAGAAGCGACGAGGAGTACTACGCCAAGGAGGTTTACAAAATAGACATGCCGTCTTTCATCTCCTCTGAAAGTAAGTACTATTTTTCGCTTCCATCCCCCGAGGTTCAGCACTGCCCGGAGCTCTTAAAACCGCGGCAGCCCCGGGGATCACCCTTCCCACTCCCGGACCCCGTTCGCTCTTTTCCTCTTCTGTCCTTCGGCCCATCCACCTCCTTTCCAGTTGTGTGACTGAGACCGTCAGGCTCTAAAACGTCAACTTTCGACTTTATTTTTTCCATCTCTCCCTTCCCCCAGCGCCTCCGTCCTTTGTAATACGTTATTCTCTTTTTCTCTTCCCTGAAATTCTTTTCCTCGGTAACCAGCCAGGAGTCAGCCCTCCTCTGCCAAAGAGTTAATCTGGTAAATCTTGGTTAGGTTTTTTTTTTTTCCCCGGCTTCTCTTGGCCCGGAGCGCGCTGAACTGGTGCACCAAGAGTTAAAAGAAAAGTGGCTGATAACTAGCCTCTCCGGAAGGCGCCCCCTTTCCGTGCTGAACTATCAGCTGGTTCTCCAAGCCTTCTCTATTGTCTCCAACTCCCCTCAAAATGTCATCATCGCCAAGACAAAACCTGAATTGGAGACCCCAGAAAAAAGCCTACCTGGAGACCCCCATCCTGCTCGATGTATCTGTTGCCATCGCTAGGTGTTTGCATTCCCCAGAGGCAAAAACTCTTAACCCGGTTCACCTGGAGTGGTAGCAAGGAAAACTTCGTTTCTGTGTGTAAAAGGTTTTACTCAACGTTGTTTTTGAGAACTCACCCAGATCTGCCTTCTTAAAATCGCCTTCTTAAAGTTTGCTTAAAATAGCAGATAATTTTTCTTACTGGTTTATTGTTGATCTTTTTCAACCCTGAGATGTGCTCCTGCCATTCCATAGGCAGTCTCTGGTTACTTCAGTGTATTTCCAAATCTTAGAGTGGAAGTCAAATGATTATTTTTTCTTTTTCTTTTTCTTTCTTTTTTTTTTTTTTCTGGTTTCTCTGAAAACAGTGTCCTGGAGACCAGCTAGCTTACAGTAGCAATGGGAGTGAAATGATTTATCGTGGAGTTCTTTGGGGGGAAGGGAAGAGGATAATTGTAGACTTATTTCAGAGTTCTTTTTAAAAAAGAAAAAGAAAAGAAATAAGAAGCATCCAGTGATTAATGAGGGTTGAGAGGGTTAAATACCAGGAAGAAGAAGAAAAAGAAAAAAAACCTTCAACATTCGAGTATTCCAAATCCTAAGTCATAAACTTCTCATTGGTTCCCCTTTTCTCTCCTCCCTTTTCTGTGCGCTATATAGTTGCTGGATGCCTTTGCAAAGTCTCGGTATCTTGCCTAAATAGATAATACAGCCATCTTGGTAATTTTATCCAGTGGTTCTAATTGCAGGGTGGTGCTCTTCTTTTTTAATATTTATTTTTAGTTTGACAGGTCCCAGCTATGTGACTTGCCATGTCTTGTACTTGATGGTCTCAGAATGTCAGCCCATGCCTCTCACTCCAGTTTTTCTAGCCACCTTTCTTTTGCTGCAGTTTCTCCTCTTCTTGTTCCATAGCAGAACAGATGCAGGCAATCTGGGCAGGCAGAATGATTTTATTATTGTAATTATGGCACTATCCACAGCACTGGTGATAAATATGCTCCACCCTGGTTATTCCCCTGGGGAAGTAAAGCTTTCTACCTGGGGTGGAGCCAAAGAGATATTAGGAAAGAAAATTTACTGTAATTAGCCCAAACCCATTGAGATAGTGCAAGGACTTGAGTCAGTGTGCTTTCTCTAGCACGTGCATCAGTCCGCTGGCACTTGGGCAGACAGGCAGGTATGTTATGTAGCACTCGAATAATTGATCCTTTAACGTTTACATGCAAAAGTTCTCGTAAGCTGCTAGGACTTTCATAACATAGAGAGGAGGATCTCACTAATGTATAGGTGTGGAGAGAGCAAGTTACCCAAAAGCACATTAATTTTTTGTTCTCTCAAGCATACTTCAGCTCAAAGAGCTGAGAAGTCCAGCTCAGTGTCATGGTCAACAAATTGGAAAAAAAAAAAATTCAGATTATCAGGAAGATTTCAGAGTAGGGCATCTAAGGTCAGTGTGGGGATTCACCTCTCCATTCTATTCCCAGCTGCCAAATAAATGAAAACCTCTGATAAGTTTAGGAGAAAAAAAGTACAGGCTTAAAGTAGCCTGTCTTCCATCTGGAAGTTTGGGAGCAGAAAGACCTATGAATAGCAGATTCAATACCACTGTGCAAGAACTGTGCATAATTTTATAGAAAGTAGGTTAACTGATTTTCCAGCACTTTCTAGTTATACTGGAATAGAGCGAACCTTTCCAAAAAAAAGGAAGAAAGAAAAAAAAAGTCACTCCACCGTACTTTTAAAAAGCAAATTGAAAGGACGTCATTGGCTTATAGACCAGGCTTCCTCTTTAGGACTTTGCAGCCTAACTTGTAACTCTGGCTGTCACTTCAGTGGCTGCGGGGAGGGAGTGTGCCGGACATTTCTTGCAGTGATTTTGGGGAGGGTCATAAGCCCCAGAGATGAAGGCATGGGAAAGATCACTGGTTCATTTTTTTACCACCAACTTATTAGTGTTCAGGGAGTGACTTCAGCTCAAGTATTACAAATATGCTCTAATTATACTCCACGAGCTATATATCATTACAGATTGCTGATAGCCCTTTGTGAGACATTCTATAAAGTTCAGACTAAATATTTTTAGCAATGTAGAGATTGAAGAGTAAAAATATAAGAGATATTGTATATGCCCCCAGGCGTATTTTGTCTTAAATATTGTACTTGGCCAAGTGTACTATATAAATACGGTAAATATGAATAGAACTGGCCAGGTGCCAATCTCCTAGGATGAATTTTAGTCAAGAATGTATTTACGGGATATAAATAATACTATGTCAACATTTAAAGAAGGAGGTCTGATTAGTTTTGAATGTATTCATATTGATCTTCTCACATGCTGTTAGTTTAAGGCTCAAAGTGGAGTTATGCTAAGGTTTACTGATAGCTGGCCCAGTGGGAATTAGTGGACTTCTAGTGGTTTGACAATCCACTTGAAGTTCAAAGCATATCTATTCAAAAGACACTGCCCAAGGTTTTTTGAAATTTAGAGTGATTTCATTAAATTCAAGAAGAATCCAAATAATTGACTGTAACATCTGTTAGAGGATTGGTCAATCAAAACAAGGAAGAGATAGAAAGTTTTCTTTTCTTTCTTTTTTCTCACTTTTTCATTATAACAAACCAGGCCTCTGTTTTGGTTCTAACCCTGGTGATTTCGTACTCTTCTCCCTCCTCGCCCCCTGCTGGAACATTTGAGGCATTTTTGGTTGTCATGACTGGGAGCTGAGGGTCCTGTAGGCATTTAGTGGCTAGAAGTCAGTTCTAACTACCTTGTGGACAGCTCCTCCCACACAGATTCCATATATCAAGAAATTATCGAGCCCCAAATGTCAACAATGCCTATGCTGAAAAGTCCCAGTACCTCTGGTAGCCCAGTGTTTGAGTAATTAAATTTTGATAACTGTACTATTTTAAAAGTAATAACCAAAATAAAATATCTTTGTGGTCAAAGGATATTAAAATGAAAGCATTTAATAGGAAGATGACCCAGAAAGTTATCTAAATTAGAGTATAAATTAGACCATTTTGCATGGCGTAGACTTTATCATTGTGATCCTAGAGCACCCAAATCAACTTCCCATTCATTTCACCTAGCGAATGATGTCGATCCACATCAGTAGCTCCAGAACAGAGAAAAAGTAAGTGAGGAATCATCTTGGATTTTCCTTGCAAGGATAATAAGCAGTTTGTGTTACTAAAGAGTGGAATCTTTAAGCCAGGCAAACGAAGGAAGTAAATACCCTATTGGCTTATTCTGTGATATTGAATAGGATAAAGTAAAATCCACAGACTGAAAAATCACAATGAGATGTTCTCTGTAATTGTTTCACATGAATGTTAAACATTTAGTATTAGACAATCTCTTTTTCTATTTCTCCTGTAATTTTCCAAGTGAAAACTGGAATTTAGAATGAATACCAATGACACTATGGTTTCAGAGAATGTGACTTAGCATTCTATTCCTGAGCATGTGCTTCTGTATACAAATTGTGAGTCTATTGATTGGCCAATTGCCCAGTGAAGGAAAATATTAGCACTTAATGAAACATAGAAGTATTTTTGCTTTATTTTAGTTTTTAAGATTAGCTCTGTATGTATGTGTGTATGTGTGTGTATAAGAGACAGAGAGTCAGAAAGATACATTTTAAAGACAGACTTAAACCCCTTGACATCCAGATTGATTGAGTTATTAATATGCAATAGGCCAAACTTTAATTCCTTCTTTTGATTGCATCATTGCTTGCACTAACCCTAGTGCTTAATTGTGGTTACATTTAAGTTAGGCCACATTCTCTCCTTATTCAGGATTTCCTCTTCTTTACTTTTCCAAGACTAGAAAAAAAAAAATCTTCAAATAAACTGTTTATAACTCAAGCAGCTGAATTGTCTTCATTGCCAATTGGAGCCAGCTGGCTTTATGTCTCCCTTCAGACCCCTCCTGGTAGAGGCTGGGTGTTGCCAAGCTTGAGGGGTAAGAGGGTGGTTATCACTTAACCTCCCAGCTGGAAAGTGGAAGTGGGAGCCCTCTGTGTCTCCACAGCGACCCCTGTGGTCTACTCAAGGGGCTGCACTTTTTGAATTAGGACTTCTCCCTGGTGAGAAGACGCTGATGTAAACTAGTCCTCAGCGTCTTTCATATAAAGGTATGAAAGAGTGACAGATCGTTTTTCCTAGAGGAAACTGAGATGTGAAAAAAGGGCTAATGACTCACTGTTGAACTCACATCAAATCTGGGTTAGGACTGAGGAGGTCACTGACTCCTAGGCAGTCTTCGCCCAGAGATTACAACACACTTCAGGCTGCATTTTCAGAGCATTTGAAAAAGCAGAGTAGAGGAGCCTGGCTCTCAGAGAGGTGAGCAGGCTGAATGCTGAGGATAGGAATCTGGCCTCACTTCCTCCTCACCGC